GAACCCGAAGTCCATCCCCTCCGTAACCCCTGCCCTCACAACTCACACTCCACGCCAACGTCGCGCCTGCCTCCTGGGCCTCATCTCCTCCCCTCTCACCCCGTGCAGATTCCCACCCGCCCCGCCGTCTCCCCGGGAGCCCCTCTGGCCAAGATGGCCAGGGATTTCCTTAGGTCAGATCCAGAGCTCTTCATTTCCAGGATCTCTCAGCTGCTTCTGATACTGTTGAACCTCTCACTGCCCTCAAGTTCCCTGAAAAAAGATTTTTTTAAAAATCCGGGCTGCCCTCTTCTCTGGCTACCTCTCAGTTTCTTCGGCTCGCTTTCCAAGTTTCCGTTGACTGTGGCCTCTGGGCTGGTGTCCCGGCTCTCTTGTCGCTCCTTGTCCCCACTCCCCCTGTGACCCCCTGCTCTCCAGTGGATTCACCCGTCATCCGTGCGTCCCTGACTAGTGAGCCCAGGTCTCCTTCTCACAACCACAGGCCCGATGGGCATCGTCCCCCTTCGCCTGTGCCGGGAGCTCCTCAAGCTCAACTTGTCCAAAACCAGACTCATCTTGCCGCTCAAACTCATTCTCTCTCCCGGGTTTGCCATCCCGTTGGATAATGTCACAATCTACGTAGCTCTGCTAACTCGGAAGGACACTAGTGCCAGGGTAGGCAAAGTATTCGATGTCCTAAGAGTTCTTATCTTATTTATCACTGTTCTGATGCAATTAGTTCAAATTCATTCTTTTCATCCCATCGTCCATGTAACTTTGGAAGCCAGTCATGCTTGAAAGACCAAATGTCATATTCACTATGTTGGAAGATATATAATAAGCCTAAGTGGTCTCAAAAATATTTTTTTTTAATTTTAAGAGATTTTATTTAATCAATCTCCTGCTGAAGTGCCATAGAAATCCAAAGAAGTGTCCTTTAGGCACCGGAAGGATTAAACGGACCCCTATTTAGGATACCCCGACATTGCCCTAGAAAACCTTACTCACATCTAACTACACACACACTATTGTATAAAGTAGATCTATGCCCAGCGTCTGCACTTCCTTAGATGTCGAGAAATTGTGCTTGAGTAACAAGCGTTGCAATCAGGCAGACGTAGAACGAAGGTGGGGCAAGTGTTCGGCTTCCTCCACACTTTGAGACTTTCTTCAGCTGCAAAACGGGGTAAGGATACTTACCTCACATGGATGCTGGAAGGATTTAGTGAGATAATGTGTGCAAAGCGCCTGGCATATGCTGGGTGCTCAAAAATTTCAACAAACATTTTATTTTTAAAGATTTCTCACCTTTCTCTTTCCTTTCCTCCAATTTTGAGGCAATTTAAGCCTTCTGGTGCAGGATGAAACATGCCTAGGGGAAAAAAGAAAAAAAAAATCCCGTACGATTCCAGATCAGAACTGTTCCAATATACCTGTGGAAAATTAAATTCGGTTTAAAAATATTTCAAGTGTTTCAAGTGTCCTAGACTGAATTTCTCAGGTGGACTCTCTAATGGACCTAAATCCCTAGGGTACTTCAGGAGCGGACCTGGCTCCTCGAGGCCCTCAAAATCCTCACTGGTGAGACAGATGGGATGGCCAGGAGCAGTGGAGACCGGTTACCCTCCAGAGCCGATTTTAGCTCACGTACGAAATTCTCGTGAAGCCTCAAAACGAGGTAGGAGAAGAAAAAGGAGCAGAGAACAAAGGAGGACTGAGTATTACCGGCCATCGCCTCTGAAAATTCTTGGCTCACTTTGAGCAACGTCTTCAAAACAGCAGCAGACTGGAAAGCTGGGTTGTGCGAGGGGGTGCGGGCCGTGGGGGGAGGGGGGGCGGGGAGCTGACCTCGCCCAGGAAGGAGCGGGCGTTGTTCCTCCAGTCCGAGGGGTTGTGCTGAGGGCGGGGTGGAGGGAGCACGTTGTCTCTGGGTCCCAGCGACAAGGGGTGACAGTCTGGATGAAGGCGCAACTGTGACCTGCCGGCGGCCCCGCAAGGCCCCACCGCTCAGCCAAGACCCCACGGCCTGGGCCACACCGCGGACAGTGTGGTGCACTGTTGGCCCAGCGCTGCAGCCCCGACCTCCCGGTGATGCCCCGTCACCGCAAGGCCCCAGGCCTGCCCTTGTGCCCTGGCAGCTGTCCTCAACCTGGGCGACACACCTTCTTTTGTGGGGACGTGATGGTTCCAGGAAGTACACAGAAAAGCATAGTTTTAAGGGAATCAGTTGCCTCAACTTCTACGAGCACCGTCCATTGAAAAAGAGCTCGACGGCAAGGGACCTCCTCCCCTCTCGTCTCCTACTTTACTAAAGAAAAGCGCACCAAATGCCGTTCAGCCATAAGAAAGAAGGGAATGTTGCCACTTGAGACACCACGCGTGGACCTCGAGAGCGACATCGAAGTGCAGGAAGTCGGAGAAAGACGAGTACCGCGTGACCTCGGTTATATGTGGAGTCTACGCCGCGGAACAGCACTGAGCCCGTCTGTAGAAGGGACACACTGGCCGTTGTCGGGGCCGGGGGTGGGGGTGGGGGCTCAGGAGGGGTCAACGTGTACAGGCTTCTAGTTATGACATACATCAGTCCTGGGGTGTGACGTGCAGCGCGGTGATCATGGTTAATGATGCCGTATCGTACATTTGAAAGTCGCTAAGAGTAAATCTTAAAAGATCTTATCACAGGAATAAAAAATCACCACCGTGTGTGGTGACGGATAGCGAGACTGACTGTGGTGATCATTTCACAACATGCACAAATACCAAACCATCAGGTTGTACACCTAAAGCTAACAAAATGCTCTACGTCAATTATACCTTAACTTTAAAAAGTTGGACAACGTAGACGAGTGATGGAATGAATAGAAAGAATATAGACAAGAATAAAATAAATAGGAGAGCAGTGATAAGAAGTAGGATGCAATTAAGGATGTAAAATCTCCACCAAGTAAAAAAGAAAAGAAATATATACCTTGAGCCTTTTCCCAATCTTTTTAAGATTTTATTTATTTGAGAGAGAGCACGTGCACCAGTGGGGGAGGGGGAGACACAGACTCCCTGCTGAGCTGCCTCCCCCAACACAGGGCTGGATCCCCAGACCCTGGGGTCACAAGCTGATACGAAGGCAGAGGCTAAACCAACAGGTGCCCCCCTTTTCCCAGTCTTCCTGTGGTACGTGAACATCTGCAGAGCAAAGGAAGAGCGAGGTCTCAGAACAGGTACAGAGGAAGCAAATACTGTTAAGGACTTGAAATAAATACCTCTTCTCGTCAGGCGGTGTCTTAGTCCACACGGCTGTAACACAATCCCACAGACTGCAGACCTTATACACAACAGAAGCTTACTTCTCATGGCTCTGGAGACTGGACGTTCGAGTCCAAGGCCCTGGCAGATTTGGTGTCTGGTGGGGACCTGCTCCGGTTCACACATGGCCATCTTCTCACCGTGTCCCCATGTCACAGAAGGGGGCACGGAGCTCTCCAGGGTCTCTTTTATAGGCACTAATCCCATCCCTAGGCCTCTACCCTAACCTCATCCCTAGGCTTCTACCCTAACCCCAACCCTAGGCCTCTACCCTAACCCCATCCCTAGGCCTCTACCCTAACCCCATCCCTAGGCCTCTACCCCAACCCCATCCCTAGGCTCTACCTAACCCATCCCTAGCCTCTACCAACCATCCAGCCTACCCAACCCATCCCTAGGCCTCTACCTTAACCTCAACCCTAGGCCTCTACCCTAACCCCATCCCTAGGCCTCTACCTTAACCTCAACCCTAGGCCTCTACCCTAACCCCATCCCTAGGCCTCTACCTTAACCTCAACCCTAGGCCTCTACCCTAACCCCATCCCTAGGCCTCTACCCTAACACAACCCTAGGCCTCTACCCTAACCCCATCCCTAGGCCTCTACCCTAACCCAACCCTAGGCCTCTACCCTAACCCCATCCCTAGGCCTCTACCCTAACACAACCCTAGGCCTCTACCCTAACCCCATCCCTAGGCCTCTACCCTAACCCAACCCTAGGCCTCTACCCCAACCCCATCCCTAGGCTTCTACCCTAACCCCATCCCTAGGCCTCTACCCTAACCCCATCCCTAGGCCTCTACCCCAACCCCATCCCTAGGCCTCTACCTTAACCTCAACCCTAGGCCTCTACCCTAACCCCATCCCTAGGCCTCTACCTTAACCTCAACCCTAGGCCTCTACCCTAACCCCATCCCTAGGCCTCTACCTTAACCTCAACCCTAGGCCTCTACCCTAACCCCATCCCTAGGCCTCTACCTTAACCTCAACCCTAGGCCTCTACCCTAACCCCATCCCTAGGCCTCTATCTTAACCTCAACCCTAGGCCTCTACCCTAACCCAACCCTAGGCCTCTACCCTAACCCCATCCCTAGGCCTCTACCCTAACCCCAACCCTAGGCCTCTACCCTAACCCCAAGCCTAGGCCTCTACCCCAACCCCATGCCTAGGCCTCTACCCCAATCCCATCCCTAGGGCCTGTACCCTCATGACCTAATCATCTTCCTAAGGCCCCACCTCCAAATACCTTCACCTGGAGATTGGGTTTCAACATGATTGCTGGGAGACACAAACATTCTGACTACGATGGGTAACATCCTTGCTTCTCACAAGATTGAAGAAGGGTCTGGTCACAGCTGATTCTGATCTCATGGAGCAAAGCCGCGAGAACTGTGGCAAACGACTCAGGAGACGAAGAACAAAAGAATGGCAAACGAAGAGCCCAGAGACGACATGTGCTTTTAAAGCTACTTCCCTTTCCATCTACCTGTTTATAACATGTCTTATGTGCACACAATGTGGGGACAAAGCACGAGGACTAGAATCTATGCTCATCCCAGCAATAGGGAACGGTTGTCTTCCATGGATACATAAGCTCATCGGAAAAGCAGCCACATTCACCAGACTATGATATATGATCAGTAAAAATTAACACCTCAAGCCATATAATCACACAGAGTTTTCTTAATTAAAATGTATATTTATTTTGTCAGCCCTGTAAGGATGGCTATATAAATACAAATAGAGAAAAAACAAACAAACAACAACAACAACAACAACAAAAAAAAGACATGTAAAACCCGCCAGCATAAAGAAAGAGCTTATTCGTGTATTTTTTAAGTGAACGATGATAGGTATCTGCTTGCTGTGGTATTTGGATCCCATTGGATACATTTTAATAAGTGACGTCATGGCTTTATTCGAAAATGTCAATTTTTGCAGAACACAGGATATTACCCTTTGCCAACAGCATCAGTTTAGAATGCAAACTCGTAGCTGTCATTTTAAAAAAGAGCCGGGATACACCATATTTTGACCTTCTTTTGGGGGGCGCGTCCGTGAAGCAGAGTCTGAGGAGGAGAGCTCTTACAGGGCCGCAGGCCTCTAACCTGGCCATGAGGAGGCAGCCCCTCTTGAACATAAAAAAGAGAGAGAGTCGCACTTTTACTTCTCTATCTGCTGAGACCAAGAGAAAGTGGCAAAACACCGGTACGACACTCACCAGGAACACTTGCGAGCTCGTGCGTACGTGAGCCTTCATATTCGTCAAAGTAGCCGCGTGCATCTCAGGACCTCAGCCTTGGACTGACGGGAAGTGAGAACGTCTGGGGCCCCGGACGGCCGCTCCACGCCGACCCCACGGCCCAGGCCGGGGTCTCCCCCAGCGAGGCGGCGAGGGCCATCGGGTGGCCCTGACACGGAGCAGGGGCTCAAATGCCTTGGGAGGAACTTTCCGCTTTTCAGGAAAAGCTGGATTTTCTGTGAAATCTCTGGATTGCCAACCCAACGGACAGACAGACAAAAACGTCCGTAGGGCAACCAGAATTCCCACGCGAGCTGACTTCGGTTGCCGGACATCCGGCGTGCACCCCGTGCTCCAGGGCGACTCAGGGTGGGTCGCAGCCCCAAGCGCTGTCTGGTACCTTCCACGAGGAGAGGCACAGAGCAACCAAGAAGGATACTGGGAAGCATCCCTAGTGGTTAGGCACAGTGACTTTGCGAATAGGATTTTCTGAATCGGATAAAAAAAAATAGGCTTGTATTTTACATCTGTTTTTTGATTAATTTCTCTAGCTTTTAAAACAAAAATCTCAGCAGGCGATGGACCCGTGTGCTCCCCCACCGGGAGCCTCTGGGGGCGGGGCCCGGTCTTCATCAAAGTAGAGGATGTGTCTGAAGACGCTACTGTCCTACACCAACATTAGGGCCTGGTACCAGAACATCAGCGTCTGGAATCTTCACACTGTGTAAAAAGACACAAGCCTGTGAATTAAAATACACCCATTTCTTCTTCTTTTTTTTTTAAAATTCAGTTTGCAAACATAGAGTACGACACCCAGTAAAATGCAGCTATTTGTAACCAGCTGGCAAAGGTTTCGTGGTAGAGGTCCTGACGGCAAGGGACCGCCTTTCCCCGGAGGCATGGGGGGGCCTATCATGTCCCTCCCGTGACGGCCTCGCAGGCCCGTCAGCTGCCCGTCAGGCTACCCAGTTCCCTCCAGGGCCAGCTGTGGAGTGGCCTGATACCACCCGTCACGTGGAGTTCCTCCTCCGTCCACCAGCACAGGGCCACCAACCCACGCAAGGCCCTGACCTCTGGCAGAAGGCTTGCTGGCCGCCTGCTGTGTGCGCGGCTGCTTCCTCCGACACACTGATCTCCTCCGTGGCCCAGAATCCCGATTCTCCACCTCCCCGAGTGCTCCTTCCACTGACTTCTCCCCCCTTCCTGACCACCCAGGATGGTGTCAGCCAGCCAGTTCTGGAGCTTTGGTACCTGTTGGTCACCTTCCTATCCTGCAGCTTCAGCTCAAGGGACCCACTGACCTTTGTCCTCTCTGCTTAGGCTGAGGCTCCAGGATAGGAAGGTGGTTGCCAGGTATCAAAGCTCAACATCCAGGGCACCTGGGTGGCTCAGGGGTTGAGTGTCCACCTTGGTCCCAGGGCGTGACCCCGGGGTCCCCGCAAGGAGCCTGCTTCTCCCTTGGCCTGTGTCTCTGCTTCTCTCATGAATAAATAAATAAAATCTTTTAAAAAAAATGCTCAACGTGCAGAATGAAGCGGCTTCACAGTGGGTCCAGTGCCTTGCAAGGACCCCCAGTAGGGCAGTCACAGCTAGAAGGGGTGCAGGTAAGACCAGAAGGCCAGGAGGTGAGCAAGCAGAAGGGTGACAACCAGAAACAATCTCACAGGTCTGCACACTCGGGTCTGCGGAGCTGAGGGAAAGCCCCAAGTCAGCGTGCATGGGTTGGCGCCAGCTCCCTCTCCACCTTGCGGGGTCCCTCCCTCAGCCGCTCCAAACTCCCACAGACCCAACCCCCACCCTAGCATCTCGGAGGGCTTAGGCCCTGGGCCTCAGCCGCTGCCTGCACCGCAGAAAGGGGGAATTTCCCAGGGGGGAGGGCCACGCCGGGGGCGGGAGGGGAGGAGCACAGCACAGGCCTGGGGAGGTGATTTCAGAAGTGCAACCTGCTGGGGGACTTTTTCTTCAGACCATCTGGAGGGAAGTGGTCAAAATCTGCTACAGATTCTCCTGAAATGACCAAATACCCATAGGAAAGTTGTTACCTTGTTGAGAAACGGGGCTCCTTTGCTTCCTCCTGGGGGTGGGGGGGGCGGGGGGTTAAAGACTTTTCTATCAGTCAGTGACCTCTCCTGCCTGGGGGGGCGGAGCTGCAGCCAATGAAGAACCACCCCCCCCCCAGTCTGCAGGTGGCCACCTTGGGGGGGGGGGGCCTGGCTGCCCTGTTTTGCCATCCAAGACGCTAAGAAAGTGTAAAGGAGATCAGCAGCCTGTGTGGCTACAGGAAGGACCAGACTTTTTTGGCCAAGCAGAAAACCCGCTACCTTGTGTGAATCATGGAGTTTTACCGGTTTTAGGTGGCGTGTGCGCGTGTGTTGCGGGAACAAGAGATGGGAGATCTGCTCTGCTCCTGGGCTGCTGGGCTGCTGGGGCCCGACAGGCACCTCCTGCGGGACGGAGGGGGGAACGCCCGAAACACCTGAAATCTCATTCCAGGAAAAGGAAATGTCAGAGTCCTCAGGTAGCCACGCATTCCTGTTTCCCTCGTCCCGGGCAGTGCGCGGGGGCAGGCGGGCCGAGACCGGCACAGCCCCGCCGCCCCGACGGCGATTGCCAAGACCCCGAAGACCGAGCCCCGCACCGAGCCCCCGCGCCCCCAGGGTCAGCCCCTCGCTTCCGGCCATAAAACCTGCCTTTTCCTCGTCTCCCTTAGTGAGGAGCGCGGAGGATGCCCCGGAGGGCCGGGCGGACGGGCCGGGGGACGCGGAGGTCACCTGGAATGACTTGCTGCGCCCCCCCCGCCCGCCCCCAGAAGCAAGCCCGGGGGCTCGGTCGGGGCCTGTGCAGGCGCCGCCGCAGGGCTCGGGGTCCGGTCGGCGCCCCCGCCCCCCGCCCCTCCCCCGCCGCCGCCCCCGCCGGCCGCCCCGCCCCCGCGGCCGCCGAGTGCTCCTCTCTTAGGAGCTGCCCGGTACCCGGGCGGGCGCCGGGCGCTCACGGCCCGATGACGTCAGCGTGTTATTGACTTTCCAAGTCTGAATGACTGAGCACCGCGCGGGGGCGGGGCGCGAGGCGGCGGCGGCGCGGGGACCGGCCGAGCGAAAATGGGCTGGCGCGCGGCGGCGGGGGAGGGGCGGGCGCGGGCGCGGGCGGCGGCGGCGGCGGGGGAGGGGCGGCCCCGGGCTCGGGCTCGGGCTCGGGCTCCGGCTCGGCTCGGCTCGGCTCGGCGGCGGGGCGGCTGCAGCCCTGTCCCTGCCCCTGCCCCTGCCCCTGCCCCCGCGCGGCCCCGCCCCCGCCCCCGCCCCCGCCCCCCGCCGCGGGCCCTGCACCTCCCGAGCCTTCCCGCCCCGGAAGCCTGAGCCACGTGGCCCGGCCGCTCACAAAGCGGGGAGCCCGGGCGGGAGGTGGGGCGCCCTCCCCCTCCCCCCCCCCCCCCCCCCCCGCAGCCTGTGCAGGTGTGCGGCCGCCCGGCTGCGCTCCCTCCCCCGGGCCCGGCACCCTGGCCTCCGGACGGGCAGCAGGTGCGGCAGGTGCGCCTCCTCCCGCGGGGCCTGGGGCGGCCCGGGGCGGGTGTGCGCGGACACGCTCGGAACCGGGGCGCGGCGGACCCGGACCCCGACCCCGACCCGGCCCGCTCGGGCCGCCGCTCCCGCCCCACCTCCTCCGGCGCCTCCGGCTTCACGGGCCTCACGGCTGAGCCCAGGCCCTGCCTCCTGGCCGGGGCTCCGAGGCTCTGCACCCCCGCCCCGCCCCGGTCCTGGACCCCCAAATCCCCCAGGCACCGCCCCGCTCAGGGCTTATGTCCCCTCGACTGCTACGGATTGCCCGCCCCACCCCCACCCCAGTCCTGCCCTCCGCCCCTCCTCCCCTCCCCCTCCCGCCCTTCCTCCCCTCTTCCCAACGCTCCCCCTCCCCCACCCGCCCCTCCTCCCCTCCCCCTCCTCCCCCCTCCCGCCCTTCCTCCCTCCTCCCCCCTTCTTCCCTCCTCCCCCTCCCCCACCCGCCCCTCCTCCCCTCTCCCCTCCTGCCCTTCCTCCTCTCTTCCCTCCGCCCCCCTCCCCCACCCGCCCTTCCTCCCCTCCCCCTCCTCCCCCCTCCCGCCCTTCCTCCCCTCACCTTCCTTCTCTTTCTCCCTGCCCTGCTCTCACTCCTCCTCCCCTCCCCCTCCTCTCCTTCCTCCCCTCCTCCCTCCTCTCCCACTCCTCCCCATCCCCTCCCGCCCGTCCTCCCCTCCTGCCCTCTCTCCGTACTACCCTCCCCCTCCTGTTTCCTCCCCTCCCCCTCCCGCCCCCCTCCTCCCGCTCCTGGGGCTCCAGCTGTGTTTGTGGAGCACCGAGGGCTCAAGGCGCAGGGAGGCTGTGCACCCCCACCCCTCCCCCACCCTCACCCCTCCCCCATCCCCCACCCCTCCCCCACCGCTTACGAACCCCGCCCTGCGCGTCCCAGCCCTGTGGCCGCGGGCGGGTCCCTGACCTCTCTGCACCCTCAGGGTGAAAAGCGGGGGCCGCCACCCCCTCAGTCCTGTCGCGAGGCCCTGAGGAAAGCCGGTTCCGTCCGGACTGGCAGCCCAGGCCTTCCCTCGCTTAGCCCAGCGACGCCCCCGGGGCCCCGGGCGGTACACGCAGAGCCGCCGCGGCCTCCTCCGGGCCCTTCCCCGCTCCCCGAGCACCTGCAGCCCCGGGAGGAGCCACCTTGGGGGCGGGGCGGGGGGAGGGGGACGCGCCCCTGACCCAGGCGGGGATGGAGGGACGCGTCTGTGCCCCAGGTGGGGCGGGGGCGGCACGTCCACAGCCTCCTAGCGAGCCTCAGGGCTCCTGGCGGCCTCCTGGCCCCACAGGTCGGCAGGTGGGGGGGGGGTGTCAAGAGCTGAGACATGCGGGTCCAATCGGAAGCCGCCTGGGGAATTTTGAACCTGGAGGCGGAAAAGCCCATTTCTCCCCCAACCTGCAAGATATTATAAAGCTGGGAACCTCCTCTAGGACCTTGTTGCCCATCCTGGAGGGGATGAGCAAGCCTGACACAGAGACGGCCGTGGAGGTCAGAGACAGAGACACCCAGGCGGGAGCAGAGCCCGGAGGCCCGGAGAGCCCGATGTGGGCAGTACTGGGTGCTGGGTCCCTGATAGGGTCCCACCGCCCGGCTTCCTGGGACCACCCAGTATTGTCTACAACAGACTCTCTTAATTACTTAAATCGGCTTGCCTGTTGTGACTTGCCACCAAAACGTTCTAGTTAATACAGCACCTGTGGCCTTTATCAGTCTGGTCGGTGCAGTCTTAGCTGAGTTGAGGACTAGCTCCCCCGACCCCAAGACCTGGGGGGAGCTGCGGCGTCCCGCAGGCCTGTCGTCCCCTAGCCTGGCGCCCTGTAAGCCCCCTGGAGCCGGGCAAGGTGTGAGCAAGGTGTGAGGGGACAGGAGGCGCCCTGCTGGCCTTGGGACTCAAGCCTTGAACCCGCCAACTTTTGGGGGGCCCGTGGCCGCGGCTGCAGTCTTCTGGAAGCCCATTTATCCTGCCCCAGTGGTGATTCGGGTTTATTCAAGTGAATAGAAAGACAAAAGACAAGAAACTTTATCCCCTCTAAATTGCATTTAATAAAATTCTTGGAGAAAATGAGTGAATCGTCAGGCTTACTAATCCCCCTGGGTCTTTGTCGGAGGGAGGCTGAGGAAATGCGTGGTGCTCAACGTTTACCGGACAGCAGATCCACATGTTATCTAAGAAAACGCTGTAGTGACTTAACCTACTCCCCCCCCCCCCCCCCGCCCATTTGTTTCCAGAAGGTTTTTTCCAGCCTGTGACTCACTTCCAGGCAGATCCAAAGACAAAAAGCTGGCTAATTGTGTGTCGGTGAGCCGGGTTCCAGGCTGCGCCATCGGGGGCACCCGGCCGGCCTGGGGACGGGTCTCGCCAGCCTGTGAGGAAGGCCCGGGTCGGCGGGTCCCCTGGCAGGAGGCCCAGGCCCCCCGCACGCACTCGGGCATCTGGCAGAGGATCTCAGGCCCGGGCACCGCGGGTGTCCCCTCCTCGAGGTGGCCCGTCCCCTGGCAGGAGGCCCAGGCCCCCCGCACGCACTCGGGCATCCAGCGGCAGATCTCAGGCCCGGGCACCACGGGTGTCCCCTCCTCGGGGTACTGCCAGCTGGGGACTCTTGGTGAATCGACCCCGTTCCCTCAGGCACCGTGCGGGGCCCGGGGACACAAAGATGAACACAAACGGAGGCGCGGAGCCGCTGACAACCTGTCAAATAAGGAAGGAGAAAGGCAGAGAAGAGGGCAGGTAGGAGGAGCTCAGGGGGGGCCGGAGCCCCATTCCCCACTCCTCACCGCCTCTCAGCAGCACTTCAGCTGCTTGACAGCTTCCAACTTTTTTTTTTTTTTAAGATTTATTTTATCTTAGAGAAAGAGAGAGAACACGAGCGGGGAGAGGGAGAGAGAGAAAACCTCGAGCAGATCTGCAGGTGCACAGCTGCCGTCTGACGTGGGCGGTACTGGGTGCTGGGTCCTCAGTATGCGGAGCCCGACCGGAGCCCAAACCAAGAGTCGGACGCCCGACCAACGGCCACCCGGGCGCCCCAGCTTCGCCCTGCTTGAAGCCCGTTCCCTCAAGGTTTCCTCGGTGCCTGTCTTCCAGCCGGTCCGCTGCTCCCACCCCGTCACCCCCACCCACACCTCCTAGATGTTTCTCTTCCAGGGAGCGGCGCCGCGTCCACCTGGCTGCTGGCCCCTTGCAAGCAGTCCTCGACGTGCTCTCTTCTCTGCGTCACCACATCCCGTCTCCCAGCTTGTTCACCGCCCCCCGCGCACCTGTCCCCACCTACCTGCCACCACTGGCCGAAGCCACCGTCACCTGTGCACCTCTGCCCCCGCGCAGGCCCCGCAGGCCTGACCTAAGCCGCCTTGCCCCAGCTCCTGCGCCCCGGCCACACCAGACCTCCTTCCTCTCCCGCCACCCCACCCTTCCTACCCGAAGGCTTCTGCCCTGGAAGCGGATAAGCGGATCCCCCGTGGCTGCGAGGCTCGCTGCCGACCGGCCGGCTCCTCGGCGGCCCCGGGCTCGGATCTGGCGACCCGGCAGGCGTGGCTGACGCAGCAGAGGTTTCTCTCGCAGCTCCGCAGCTCCGGGGCTGGAAGCCTGAGACCAAGGTGCGCGCAGGCCAGGGCCGCTCAGAGCCGCTTCCTTCCTGGGCGGCAGGTGCAGGCCTTGCTGTGTCTTCAGGTGGCGCAGACGCCCAGGGCCCAGGCCCTGTCTGCAAAGGCACCCACCCCACCCGCGAGGCCTCCCCAGGGCCCCGCGTGCACGGACCGCCACGCTGGGGAGGGGGCTTCCCCCTGGGGGTGACGCGATCATACAGCCCTTAGCAGTATTCGGGTCCGTGACCAGGGCGGCCTCCCACCGCCCTCCCTCCCGCGACCCAGCTGGTGGCCTGTAAGGGCTTATCGCAATCTGTGGGGGTCACCGCGCTTCTTTCTGTCCTTGCTGGGCTCCGGGTGCCCTGCCCGCCTCTGGAGCGACCCGCAGCCACGCGGCGGCCCCGCACGTCCTCTCCTGCCGGTTTCCTCATGGAGCCGCCGGCCGGTCCCCCGCAGCAAGGGGCAAGGGCGCGGGAAGGCCTCTGGGAGGTGAAAGTGCAGCCGGTGCAGCCGGTGGAGCGGCTCG